TTTTTCTCCCCAACCCCGCAGGCCGTTCCAGCCGCCGGCGCGGGACGAGGAGTCGGAGTCGCAGCGCAAGGCCCGGAGCCGCCTGATGCGGCAGGCGCGGCGCGCCACGCAGGTGGGCCAAAATCGGCCAAAATCCACCCAAAAACCGGCCTGAAAACGGCCAAAATCCACCCAAAATCTGCCCCAAAAACTGACCAAAAATCGACCCAAAATCTGACCAAAATCGGCCAAAATCCACCCAAAATCTGCCCCAAAAACTGACCAAAAATCCACCCAAAATCTGCCCCAAAAACAGCCAAAATCCACCCAAAAACCGACCTGAAAACGGCCAAAATCCACCCAAAATCTGCCCCAAAAACTGACCAAAAATCGACCCAAAATCTGACCAAAATCGGCCAAAATCCACCCAATATCCGACCTGAAAACGGCCAAAATCCACCCAAAATCTGCCACAAGAACTGCCCAAAAATCCACCCAAAATCTGCCCAAAATCGGCCAAAATCCACCCAAAAACCGACCTGAAAACGGCCAAAATCCACCCAAAATCTGCCCAAAAACTGACCAAAAATCCACCCAAAATCTGCCCCAAAAACTGACCTGAAAACGGCCAAAATCCACCCAAAATCTGCCCCAAAAACTGACCAAAAATCGACCCAAAATCTGCCCAAAAAACAGCCAAAATCCACCCAAAACCTGACCTGAAAACGGCCAAAATCCACCCAAAATCTGCCCCAAAAACTGACCAAAAATCCACCCAAAATCTGCCCAAAAACCGACCTGAAAACGGCCAAAATCCACCCAAAATCTGCCCCAAGAACTGCCTAAAAATCCACCCAAAATCTGCCCCAAAAACTGACCAAAAAACAGCCAAAATCTGCCCAAAAACCGACCTGAAAACGGCCAAAATTCACCCAAAATCTGCCCCAAAAACTGACCAAAAATCGACCCAAAATCTGCCCAAAATCGGCCAAAATCCACCCAAAATCTGCCACAAGAACTGCCCAAAATCGACCCAAAATCTGCCCCAAAACTGACCAAAAATCGACCCAAAATCTGCCCAAAATCGGCCAAAATCCACCCAAAAACTGACCGAAAATGGCCAAAATCCACCCAAAATCTTCCCCAAAAACTGACCAAAAATCCACCCAAAATCTGCCCCAAAAAACTGACCAAAAATCCACCCAAAATCTGCCCAAAATCGGCCAAAATCCACCCAATATCCGACCTGAAAACGGCCAAAATCCACCCAAAATCTGCCCCAAAACTGCCAAAAAACCGACCCAAAAACTGCCCCAAAATCGCCCCAAAATCACCCCAAAATCACCCCAAAAACTGCCCCAAAATCGACCCAAAATCGCCCAAAAATCGCCCCAAAACCGCCCCGAAATCCCCCGGATTCACCCCAAACCCCCAGGGTGACCCCGGGGTGACCCCTGACCCTGGGGTGACCCCTGTGTGACCCCTGTGTGACCCCTGACCCCGGGGTGACCCCTGTGTAACCCCTGGCCCCGGGGTGACCCCGGGGTGACCCCTGACCCCTGGGTGACCCCGGGGTGACCCCGGGTGACCCCTGACCCCGGCCAGGGCGTGACCCTGCCCGAGCTGCGGGCGGCGGAGCACGGGATTGGCCGAGGCGCCGAGGGGGGGGGGGGGCAGCAGCCAATCAGGGACCAGGAGGGGCGGGAGCCCAACGTGAGTTGGGGGGGGTTGGGAAATTTGGGGAAATTTGGGGA